CGTGAAATTTGGTCGGTATGTCAGCACCGGTCTCTCAGCTGGTTGCTCAGTTCCTGCAGCTCAGCAATCACGTCGTCCATAGCTGTCACCTCATCAGCCACCTCACGGGGAACCTCGTCGCTCGTGACATCTACAAAAAGTTGCTGCGTGACAAAAGAAACACGCTATTTTAAAACATACATACAGTTTCTGTGTTTCAGCATAGAGACGGAACACAAAGTCATCAATGCTATTCTCGCTTTTGTACTTTTGGTACCTGTGATGGTATCGCTCTCTTTAAAAAGTTCATTTTGTGGCTAACAGAGGGTGCATGTTTATATATATATATATATACACATATATATGTATACACACACACAGAGACATGTGTGTGTCACCCATCTGGTATTTTGCCAAAGGGGCGGAATCCTCCTGTGGATGTTGGGTTTCTGCTCTGACTTCACTGCCTACGCTGACCCATCTGAAGTGAAGGACTTTACCATGAAACTCAAATTAGAAGGGCATCTCACATACTGTCACTGCAGTTTACAAACCCACCTGCTGATAAATCAGTAGTTGTGAATTTTGGTGGCCATATTTCCCAGTGTCATATTCTCTTGTGTCATTTTCTCCAAAAAAACCAAATAAACATGTTTTAACATTTGGTGTCAAGACATGCGTGTGTGGAGACATTAATCTGTGTGTAATTAAGTTATACAAGAGAAAACAAGACACTACAGAATAATAAAAAAAGTTTGTTCTTAAAGACCTTAGGATATTAACAGAAACACAAAGCAGATAACTCATGAGTAATCATAATCTTCACGTATTTACAAGGAAACCTAAGGAGAAGAATGCTAAGTGACTCATCTAAAGCCTTGAGATACGCAAGGTCTGACTGGAGCTTTGTGGAAGCTGCACCAGAACATACTGCTATTGCAAGACCAGGACTTGTCTTTTGACTCAGGTAACAGGGAAGCTGTGTGAGGTTCCACTCTCCAGAAATATGGGGGTGGGGGTGCAGGACCCAAACATATGTTTCCCCTTTATTATGTAAAGGTAGAGTGATTCACACTTCATTTGACAGAAAGGAAAAGCCTATATTTAGAGACAAAAACAAACCAAGGAAACAAAAGTTGCTCTGGAGTACATCTGTACATCATTATATCATCAAAACATAATGGGACAATACAGATACGTATATAAACAAAAATGTGCTTAAAAGGTCTTCAATGTGCCTCAGAACAGTGTTGTCACTGAACAAGGGAACATCTTACACAAAAATAGGAACATGTTCCTGCTACAAGTACAGAAACTTTTCTGACTTTCAGCACAAAAACTGAGCTCACACTGGGAATGTGACAGAAAAGTTGGGTTCTTTCTGGCTAAGACAGATAAATAAATCAGAATGATATAATTCCGCTCCCCCCCCCTCCCCCCACCCACACAGTTAAAGAGATCTATTCAACTAGATGCAGCCTGGGGAAGTTTCATGCACCCTCATGCTTTGGGCTTTGTGCCCCACGTTCCCCGCACAACAGTACCCATATTTAATGCGTTTATGATACAGCTCCATGACCTTTCTCCTTTTTGGAGACCCCACCTGTCAGATCAAAATGATGCATGGAGGCAAGGAGCAGAAGAGAACCCACTGTGCTCTTTGGCAGAGCATGCAACTGCCCAGAAGGCTCTTTATAGAAAGGAGCCCATTAACAACAACACATTTACGATTTGGAGCCTTCAGTAGGCTGTGAGTGCACCGTGAATCCGGGACAACACAGGACCTGGAGTGTCAGAGATGGAAATCCCAGGAAAAGAGATAAATCTGAGAAGTTACATTGTTTCAGATGTACAAAAACTACTGATTTGCTCCAATTGCATGTCCTGACTACAAAATTTTTGGAATTTTATCTTTTAAAAGAAGTTACGTTCACTGTTCCTTTATTCCTTCTGAAATCTTACCTACCAAGTCTGCTCTTAGCCCAGTTTTAAAGTGTTTTTCTCTGTTAAAAGAAAAAAGAAAAAAAACCCCAGACTAATATTGACTCAGAAGGCAGCAAGATGCTGCACTCAAGCTTGGACAGGCATAAACAGTGCTAAACTGTTTGTGCATAGATCTTACAGAAGATGACTGAGTTTTTAAACCACAACACACTTTCGAAATTCAATATGACTTCAAATTAAAAATAAGATGGCATCTTGGAAAGTATGCAAAAACAATGAGGTCACACCAATAGCTTTATGTCTAACATGTCAGCTTTCTCAGAAGCACCATAAAAAGGCACCATTATCTGCCAATAGTATAGATGTTCATTTAATTACTGCCTTCAGGAATAAAGAATACAATTTACTAGACCCACCTATTCTTAATCTTTCAGATACTGCAAGATCTGCATAATATAAGCCATCTGTATTTATATCATTTATGTCAAGTAGTCTTGCTTTCTCTAGTCATACTCAAGTCTACAGACTTTTTTTTTTAAAACCATTTTGTGAATCACAACAAAACATACATGTTGTGGCTCTTTTCAACACATTCTGAAGGCTTATGTATGCCAGTATCTAAAAGCACAGCTGTGGAGCCAGCCTGTGTCTACTTACACAGCTTGCCTAGGCTTTTATCCTTAAAATTGTAGCGAGCCAAGTTCAGCACAATGATGATGGATCAACACTTTGTATCACAAGCACACGTGCTATAAAACTTCTACTCTGTAATTCACATTTACTAAACCCCCCACACAGCCAGGAAGAGTACTTCTATAAGACATTGAGTATATATTGAATAAAAACATATTCCAGATCAGTCCTCAGTCAAACAATGGCTGTGTCTCACATTGTACGACGAAGGGTGAAATTAGGATAATAAAGGTGCAGAAACAGAAGGCACAACTCCAAAAACCAAACATACGATTCAAACATGAAGACATTTTTTCCAATGACTTAATATCTGAATTGGTAGGATATTCATGAAAACCTTATTAAAAAATTAGTTCTCTCTTTTAATAAATAGCTGTTTTTAAAACACTTCAAGTGATGTAAAGTAGTCGTGACATGTTTTGGTCCTTTCTGAAGGTTTATAGCCTTTCTTTCTGAGACTGCCCTGCTTCCCCCATGACTACTCACCTAAGGAACTGGTCTTTGAAATGACAGATTTCTTCCAAACATTCGAGACTCTTTGCCCCACATTTTGAATAACATTTAACTTAGTCTAAGAGGTAGCATTGACATTTTAGAGTAGTAGGTTTACTTCAGTCAGTGCTTATCAGGAAGAAGGGAAATAAGTCTACTTAGAACTGGAATCTTTATCAGCAAAGAGGTGAATATCTATCTGATGATGCAGAGGGACAGGCAGGTATTATTTGATCTATAAATGACTCAAAACAGAGAAATGGTTTCTGGCAACAGAACAAAGATAGCTAGCTTTCAAACAAAAATTCCTACCTTTCAAACATTCCTACCTTTGCTTTGGATGACAAGCCACGCAAATTGAGACGAGCTGAAGAAAGTATCTGCAAAGCTTCCTGATGATTAGATTTGTTCTTGCTGCATTTTATAGCCACTGGAATCCAAACACAGAAGGACGCCAAAACAAAAAAGCATTACCTTTATAGCAGTACTCTTTAAACAACATTTAATTAAAAATCTTGGTCTCTTCCATAGACAATTTTTTCATGTAATATTGCCAAAAAGAAACACAAAGAAAAAGAATGGTGTGTAATTGTGAGAAGATAACTGCAAACCCAACAGCTATATGTATACTTCTTAAACATAAATAACACATCACAGTGAATAGTCTTACTGAGACGAAGTTTTTTCCATCTCCTGACTGGCACAGTCAATCAAACTTATGTGATGTTTTGAGGAGTAAGATGAACTACAGATGCATTTACACTTGCATTATGAAATTGCTAGACCATGAAATTAATTGATTCCATGTTTACCAGTCATATGTTTACTGACTCACCCCAAACAATTTCTGCCTCATTCCGAGTATATTTTTGTATGCACTATCAGCATGATGCTCTCTGTTAGAGGACTTTCAATTGTAGGAATAAATATAATGGGTAAGGTATAATATTATTTTGTTACTAAGCTTAATAAGCATTTGCCACACTCATCATGAATCATAACAGTTCTTTTCAGGTAGAACATACCATGTGCAATCTCTATGGCTCCTTTCACCACTTCCTTAAAAGAAGAAACATCTTTCTCCCAATCACTTGATTGAATTTCACATTTATGTGCCTTAGTGAGACACTGCAGTGACTGCAAGGAGGAAAAAATAAATTATCAGTATTTAAGAACAGAAACTAGGAGAGTAATTTAGTTTTAAGTATCTATGAAATTAATGCTTGATCCAGAATATGAATGTATCTTTAGTATGCTTGATTTCCTGCGAGTTGGAGTAGTGTCCTTCTCTGCAACGGTAAGCACCAGCTGTAACACAGATGTTCTTCACCAATATTGCATCTCAAGTACGAGAGGCATATCAAGTAACATGTGTCTAATTTTTATCTTTTAAAAATCTGTCTAGACTGATGGATGTGACCCATGTTTGCCAAGTCATCATAATTAAATGCACATGAAAAAGGGAAAGATACTTGTCCTTGCACTTTGAACAGCAATTTTGTACCTAAAATATGTATAACTGAATGCATCAAAGCCTTCGTCCTGTATATGTATTTCTGGCAAATAATGTATTTTACAGATGCAGCTATTAACTGCCATACTGCTCTTGTTCTCAGTGTGAACAGGGAAAATAAATGTAAACAGTATGGAAGGAGGGGCCCATTAAGAAAAAAAAAAACACATGAAAAATTTAAGCAGAAGAAATTAATTTTTGCTTTCTAGTTTTGTTTTCTTTCCACAGCATTTGAAATACAAAACAAATACATGCCAGAAGTTACATATCTTGCTTCAATGACAACTCTTCAATTATATTTTTAAAGAGTTTAAATATCATATAAAGGAAGAAAAAACTTTCAGTGCAGTACACGGACGTGAGTGCAATGAAGACTTCTGATTGCTGAACAAAGATTAAATCTGGGGGTTGTCACCCCACAAGTTCCTACCTTCTCTCTCCCACTGGAGTTCAAATCACCGTGGCACAGGCGATTGAACTCATGCTGCTGTAAATTGCAGTAAAGGTGTATTAACTCAAAAGAGAACAAATTATTTTCTTCATAACAACCTAGGTTATAACTGGGAGTAGTTCTGCACAGCAGAGGCAAGAACTTCCAAGAGAAGGAACTACCGCTTTTACAGCAGTCTGATTTCAGTCTGCACGTGTCTGAGTCAGAGCAGCAAATTAGGAAGGTTTTACTGACAGATGTCAGGGAGGGGAAAGAATTCAAAGTCTTGTGGGCTGTTTGTTTGCACTTCTGGAACCTGGATTTATCCTGAAAGGAAATCGCTATGAGCTGGGGAAAGTTCAAGGAGCAGAACGGTTTCATAGCCTGGTGGAAACTTGAAGGTTGGAAAGATTCCTTGGTGGGAAAGGGTTGGACTGGACTGAGTTCAGCACAAGGAAAGAATGAAGTACTGAATGAGGTGGCAGGTCAGATACATAAAGTGTAAATGTATGCTAAGCTAAAGAAAAAAACCCACAAAACCAATACTGCAATGGTTTTAGACTCCTAACTTGTAAGCCCTGTCTGACTTTGATTCAATTTACAAAGCACTGTTGTGAATTGTCACTGTAGACTCTAGTGATTCATGGCATCAAATACAGCAGCAGAGCAGAACGGTAAAAAAACAACAACCAACTCACCCTTTACAACGGCCAGACATAAAAGGTTGTTTGTTCAAATGCAATGTTAGGAACAAAATTGTTAAATATAATTAAATCTGAACTAAATAAGGTATAACATTATGGAGTAAAGGTCAAATCCTACATTTGTAAGGATACATGATGCTACAAGAGATCTATTCCCATCTCTTTGTCCCATGATGCCACAATATAGTAAATAATGTCCTTTCAGAATTCATTGACCTTTTGCATAATAAATGTGAGTGGAAAACTACAATGATACATCTGAAATTTTTCTACAGATAGTTATATTCACTTCATATCTGACTGATACATGATGGTGCTTGTGGCAGTGACTCCAATAAATACTGTTTTTAACATTTTTACTTTATGATGTATCAGAAAAGCTACCAGTGATTATCTAGTGCATTGTAAATTAATTTTTACACTGTAAATTAATATATGCTGGGGCTGTAGGAAGTTTTGCCCTTTCATGATCTACATCTGTGGTACTGTCAAGGATACTTGGATACACACGTATGCATACCTTAAGTATCCATAAACATCAGCCCATTTTGCAGAACAAGCTGGACCATAAGCATGTTCCATAACCAGTCTGATTAGGAAACACAAAGTCCTGTCTACTCTACAAATTGAAACCATGTTTTTAACTGGGTTAGTGAAAAATACTGTGATCTAACCAGATTCTGAAATGATTACATTTATAGTATAGACAGGGACTCTGCTACTTTGCATGTCTGAGTAAGAATTTGAGGATATATTACAGGATATTGCAGTGTCTGTATTTCTGAATTCTAAATAGGCCAAATCCCTTTTATTGCTCAGCTGTAAAAAGAAAAAACAGGGAAGGAAAAAAGGAAGAAAGTGGAAGTAGAATGGATGCCGGCAATGACTAAACAAGGCATTTCACAAGGCAGAGCATAAAGACGAAGACAATGAGCAAGGCCCAAATAATTACAATTTAAGCCCACAGGCATACAATTTGCAGGGCCAACCCTCTGCATCATATGCTTGATATCAAGCGACAAGCAATCCTCCAAAATTTTTGCCCAGGCCAAAGGCATACCCCCATTAGGAACCAGACATACTGAACTGTGTATTTTCAGCTTCAGTGAAGACCTGATAACCCGTAAGTATCTTTGGAGTGCGCAAGGCTATTTGAATTTTGGAAATTTAATATCAAATGCAAAGTACACTCCATCATCCAATAAAGGAAACACTTCTAGCAGCACAGAGGGGTTATTTTGGAAATGCAATCAACTTGATTACCTGGGAAGTGATGGAAATAAGAGATGGAAGCTAACGTCGCAAAACCAGAGATGGGTAAAGAGAAACCA